GACTTTTTGAAGCCGAAAGATGCGTCGGGGCCCGACTGGGGGCCGCCGGGCTGGTATGGGCTCGAGATATCCGACATCCCAAAGATGCCAATCTTGCCAAACTCGCCCGACTTGGCCGACGCGCTAGAGACGGCAGTCGTCGCAGCGGCGAGCATGGCGGAGCCGGTGACGAGGGCGTCGCGGCGGCTGGAGTCGGCGCGCATCGTGCACGCGGCGCGGGGCGTCGTCACGACCGGGCGGCCGGACGAGAGCGCAGTGAGGGAAGTCGTCAGCGAGAGCATGGGCGAGGGCAACAGGAATTAGGTCGTGCGAGATGCGAGCACGTATTTTTCTTTTTTTAGCACCTTAATATCTCCTTGCGAGACAGTTCTTCGCCTCCCTACTCGCGTACTTACTTTCTTGCCTGCATGCGCCCTTTCTGCACTGGCCGCCCTCACCCGAGAGCCCTCACGCGTTGGCCTGCACAAGCTTTTCCGGCAAACAAAAAGGAAAACAGAGGGTCCCCAGCACTTTGCGTTTCCGGAAATTTCCAGGGAAAACAGAGGGTGTTTGGTGCTCCATTCTGGAAACTCGCGAGTTTCCCTGAGTCTGAGAGCTGGTCTGGGGCAAAATCTGACGCAAAATTGAGGAAATCGGCACGATACCCAGGCGGTCGCAGGGTATTTTCCAGGTATACCCGGGGCTTTCCAGGTATACCCGCAAAATACCCGGTATTTTGCCGATTTGGCTGATTTTGGGCCCAAACCAGCCTCAGTGCTCAGACTCGGCTCAGAGCCCGGAAAATTTGATGGTTAGCTCTGAAGTCCTGAGTGGTTCGCCAACTCGCGCAACTGTGAAGTGGCCAGTCCGTGCACCGGCTGTGAAGCTGTCAGTGATCCAAGATGGACCCTTCTTCTTCCACAGAAAGCCCCGATTCACCTCTGCTGTCTTCGGGGAAGCGATCCGGTACGACAATGCTTGCTGGCATCCTCATAGTGATTGGCTCAGCACTCGCATTGATTTTGATCTTCAACCGAAACCGTCACCCCGGCCCC